ACGTTGGGAGACTCACTGACTAGCTGTTGCGTCTTGTAGTGGCACAAGATCGGCGAAACACGCGTGTGTGGGCTTTTTAGCTGGTACCTTTACCGTCATTATAGTAAATTATTATGTCGCTTATACCACTGACTGCCTGTATGCAGTGAATACTGGGAATATTACATGGTTATTCCACAGGGGCTGATGGGTTTTAACTCATATATTCGTATTTAATTTCGAACTGAGCCTGTAAAGTTTTGTTATAGAGAATTTATTCCACCTTAACGCATCGATTTTCTTAGAAATTACAGAAGTCAACAGTGAAGAGTCTTCTCGTGGACAGATATGCGAATTCATCAAAACCGATAGCTCACACAGGCCTCTAATTAGTCAATTGAATAGAATTTTAAGTAAAGAGCATGACAAACAAAGATCACATCTCAAGGGACTCCACACAAAAGTAAAATATTCCGGATGTTAGTTTACGATCTCTGAGTCCTGATTGACGGTGTAAAGGCCTTATTTTAACGATTGCGCATACATTTGTCTGCCGTCAGCAAACTTTCCCTCTGTTCTGTCTGCATGATTGGTTAAAAATTGTCCACTCAAAGGAGGACAAAAAAAATAACAACAATCAGTCGTGCCCTTGATGCTCTGCCAGTAAAACTCACTTGTTGTCAACCGCCTTTCCTTACACACTGTCTGAATAAAGTGTTTGAATTGGGAGCTCTGAGTCAAAATGGAGTCGTCCGTATTGCATGTTGAGGCTAGCACATATCAACAAAAGCAACATTTTTAACTGGATAGGTTAGCGAGAATGTGCCTAAAGCTGCGAGTTCCGACACTGCCATTGAAAATTTCCGAACTATGAAGGTCGTTGTCTCCACTTATCTCCCTTGGTCAACCTTAAAATAAGTAACGAGAATAATTGTAGTTTAGCAGATTTACATAAAACACACGATTAAACATGTGGTTCATATAAGACATTGATAATATCAACATCAATATTTAAGCTGAAATCCATTAGCCACTGCGGAATAACCGCTGCCAAGACGGCAGTAAATTTGATATGGTGAAAAATTACGTCGTTTATATTACTGACTGCTTGTCGGCAGCGCGTTTATTTCGCAGTGGTTGATGGATGTCAAATTAATTATTAATTTGAACTTTCCGACAGAGTCTGAAAAGGCTTTTTTCGAAGAATTTACTCCAAGTTTACGACTGCAGTAGTCGCCGGTTATTAAGCCTACCTCGGGCCCAGACCAAATTGGGCTTAATAAGCGGCTGGGTCTATTAACCGTGGGCTTAATAACCGGCGACTACTGTAATTCTTTTTAGGTCACGGTTATTTCAAAAACGCTCTTGGCTTCACACTCAAGGATTTACGTAGCCCCTTGGAGGATTGTTAATGCATATTCTCCGGACAACTTAGTTCACATAAAACAATCATTCCATCCCCTTTATCCGCTTATTACTTATGTTGTTATTTACATATAAAATGATGATACAGGTTTACTTGGTCGCCTAGCTCATAGTCCTGTGGCTACTTTTGTTAGATTTAGTTAAGTTTTTAGTTTATCATTTAGCTTATGACTATAATTTTAGCTTAGTTTTTAATTTAGTTAGATACAGCCAAGGATAGACAAATATGCTTAAATAACTACTATAGACTAAACTAAACTAAGCTACGATTAACCAAACTGACTAAAATAAAAACATAACGTAAATGAAACTAAAATTGAACTGATAAACCAAATAATAAAATAAAAACTAGACCGACATAATTCTGGGGCTAGAGTTAGGGGTATCTAAGGTGGGCAACCAACTTAACTTTCACCAAAACAATGTATGTGTAATTATACCTCACAAAATTGTTGTACTTTCTAAATCTCTCTACCCATTTTGGAAACATCCTTCCTAAATCAGATCGCCATCCAGTAATAATCTAAGCCAGCAAGGGATCATAGATAACGATATCAGCAATGTCGAGAACTTACCCAACTCTAGCCGACTGAGTATGCTAACTTCACTGTGCAACGTCACCGCATAAGTACGTCCAAGTCACGTAGGCCAGCTTTTGTATGGATTTGAATAGCAACTGTTCTTATGGGCATTGCACAAGAATATTGATTTCTAAATTCCAGTT